GGACATGGTCTTACTGGGACGACACTGCTGCTGCTGCTGCTGCTGATAAGCCTATGGAGACCAGCGATGTCCTTAATGCTGTCAAATGTTAGTGCAGAAGCAAAATCATGATTCTGCTCCTCAGTATTCTGGTCGATAGAGTGCAACAATCTGATTTCATCTGTGTAATATTCAGGCAGTATTTGTGTAATATCCTGCTTAATACTTGGGTATTAAACTGTACTCTGTGCAACAATCCAATTTACTATTATAGTTCTATTATATTATTGTGTTTTTCAAATATCTGACTAACATTAGCAACATTAGCATTTTGCACGGATTATATTATAATTATGAATACAGCTTCCATTTTATACTTGGTACACATGCAAATATTTTTCTACATATTCCTGCTTCTGATTCTGGGGACCAACTGTGAGGACACTTGACTGAATCCTGAAGCAGAACTGACGACAAAATAGAAGCAGCTTTGTGAATGAAAAGGTTGCCTTCTTTACCAACAACGTACACAAACTACAGTGTGTCCTGTGTTCCTCTGTCCACTCTATGGACGCTGCATCAGTAACGGAACGACACAGTTTGCAGGACTCAGTGCTTCTTTTTTTATTCTCGGTGGAACTGAACAGAAACCAGAATCGTGGAGGTGGAACACAATGCTCTCTCCTGTTTGGCTCAGACAGGCAGAGTAGTTAAACAACATTACAGTGTGTGAATACTGAGAGCCTTGGTAGGCTATTCTCCAGGGAGGCATGGTTGGAATGATAATGAACACATGCAAGAATCTCAACATAGCATTAGTGGGAATGCTACAAACGCTCGTGATACATTTTCTGGTTATTCAGTGGCTTTACTGCTATGTTCAAAGATGGTTGTTGGCAGGATGAGTTGATAATAAAGTAAAAAAAAAAAAAAACACGGCAGTGGGTCGTGACAGCTTTCAGGCTCAGTGTGAAGCTGCTATTTTCATTTTTGATCTCAAAATATATTATTATTCTGACAGCATATTAATTTGTCCTCTTATTGCTGTAGAGAGATGAGAACACATGTATTCTACTGGTGTGCATTACTAAAACAATATTCACGTCTGTTCTATAGTTTTGACAACATTAAGAGTACTAACATGCTAGCATGCTCCTCTATCGACAGGCTAACTTGTAAAAGTGTATGCGACCCAGATGTTTGGTTTTTTTTGGCCATGCATCAGTTATTTTAGTTTGTATTGCATTTTTAGCATGTGTGCTAACCTTAATGAAAATGTAGACTGTAGCTTTTCTGCAAAGAATGTGAAGTGTGAGAAGCATGAACCAGTGTGGACACGGTGTCTAACGCCGTGGTGTCCATATGCCTCGTTCGACGGCGACACAGCAGAGCTTTGGACTGTGAAAACTATCGAGGTGCATTGTAATGGAAGAGCATACGTTTCTAGGCTAATGGGTTGCTGTGGGCTATGCTGCAGCTGAGCCGTGCAGCAAAAGTAACACTCTGCAAAAGCATCTGAGCTCCTTGCACCTGCAGCTAGAAGATAGATATGAGGGAGACGGACAGGGAGTGAGACAGAGGGGGAGAGAGAGAGAGATTTTATGAGCCAGATCAAACTGTCAGTCTAAAGAGGCAGGAAGTGACTAGCTGTGCTGCCTGTGAGCACCGCAGGACTAATGGAAAGAGAAAACGCCAACAAAGGCTCCCTCCTCCTCTGACCTTTCCCCAGACGCCGACGCCTTCCCCCTGATGTGACGGTGTTGCAGCTTCTCCTTTCTCCCTACTCCAATCTCCTCTCCAGTCCCACTCCTTTGTCGGTCCCTCGCTCTCTCTCTCTCTCTCTCTCTCTCTCTCCATGTCCCTCAGACTTGGTCCTAATGAGGGTTCATCTCCACTGATATCCAAGTGCACAGTACGGGATGATGTAGCAGGAGCCACCAGCTGAGCTCCAGCACTCACCCTGACCCTCCTCCTCTGTTTCCACCTGCTCTCCTGTCTCTGGTTAGATGTTTACCTGTCCATCTGACTGTTGGCATTAGGGAGCTGTCAGTAAACCCCTGCCAAACTCCTGGCGGCCGTGTCCCCCAGGAGCTTCAACTCCCCACCGAAGCTCTCCAAGCCCAGATGTCTTAATGAGGCCTGTGGCAGAAGCGACAGTTTCCTGTGCTGCCGGAGAGAAGACACGATGGATTGACAAACGCAGCACTAATGTGACACTCACGGGGGTACGACAGAGGAGCGGAGCGGCACAGAGCCCTGGAGGAGCAGGCAATTATCCTCACTGTGGTGTCGTATATGACCACACATCCCTACAGAAGATAGGTTAGAGGTGAGCTGGAGCCACTTCTGCTGCGGAAATAATCACCTCCAGCTCCTTACTCTGCCTCTCCAGTTGATACAGGAAACATGCTCCAAGACTTCAGACAGCGATGGCATTTAGAGCGCTTATTTAGATGTTATTAATATATTTTATTTTACACTATATTGGCTGCAAAATTGATGATTTGAGGTAAAGATTCAACACACTTCTGTGGCCAGGCATGATATCAAAAGGACAGATTTTACATCATAAAGCGAAGGGTGGTTCGTTTAGAAGTGAGAATGCATACATTCATGCATAACATGTCACATTTATAGAAAAAAAGTATGCCCGGTGCTGAACCTTGGGGAACACTACAACCCAACACTCACTAAGTTCGTAGCAGATTCACCAAAAATCTATTTTGAATGACATACAACCTATTTTTAAAATATGTATTATTATTAGTTAGTCCATTGGTAATATGACTACAGTTATATTATTTAAAAAGTGAAAGTTTGCACAGGCTTTAGTCTGGGTTGGGATGACAAAACTACGGGTTTGGGTTCTAATACTGGCAAACAAAACAAAATACTAGAAAAGTACAAGAAAGTATTACTAAACTTGTATCACAACTAGATAGTAGTAGTGAACGAGCCGAACCAGACTTCACCATTTTGTAACGGCTTTTCAGAGAAGAAGTTCTTCTCTTCTGCCTCCCCCACAGGCTGCCTCCCCCTTTCTCATTTTCAGCATATCTGAATTCAACTACCTACTGTGCAAGAAGGAGTCACATCACAGAAACTCATTCGCTTTCACAGTGAGTGCACGGGCCAACACAGCCATGTACATTCACTGTAACGAATTTCTTGGAACAACCGCAGAAACCAGAAATATTCAGATCCTTTCACAGAACCGCACTGCGATAAATAGAAATACTTTTTTTTTTGCTGTGCCTGAATGTATTTTTTGGCTTTTGTGTTTTTTATCTTTATATTTAAAATTGGAAACGCGTTAATCATTCCAAAAAAACTTATTCTACACCAGGTTTTGTCTAATGTATTGGTTGCCAGCCAAAGGTCATGCGTTTGTTTTCCATGTATATTACTGCTCACATATAAAACAGGTCTGTAGCTGTTGAATATTCAGGAAGTACCAGTTGGAGTAATACCACAGACAAGATGACCTCCAACAAGGACGAGATTTTTTGGGGGGGAATTTCACTGCAGGTCTCATGCACACATGAGCATGACTGCAATACAAACAGTGGGTTTGCAGAAGCTGAACATCATAAAGGAGCCGTCTCTTTTTTCCTGGGCTCTCGAATGAGGAAAATGGTTTATTAATCACGACTCATTATTCACCACATAAAGATTTCCACAGTGAAATGATTAATATCTGACAAATTGCAGTCACGTTTGAATGTGGCCTACATCAGATTAAAGGCTTGGCATGGTTACACGATGACATCATTAGTCAACATTCACAGGAAGCAAGTGAGTAGACGTGTTTATGCTAATTTCTATTTTGTTTAGTCTGTATTTTCCTTTTTACTCAGTGGAACAGGAGCGTTTGTCATTCTCAAAAATGTATTATTGTCTACAGATTTACTGTAACATCTGGAATTTATATTTTTATTATTATTACTAGTACTAACTATTTTAAAGCCTCAAACTAACTAATACTAACTATTTTAAAGCCTCAAACTAAAAAGCAAATGCACATTTGTGTTTCCACCCTTTAAGAAAATGTTAAAAAAAAAAAAAGTACCAAAGACAAATGTGTAACTAATAATAATAAAATAATAAAAATCATGGGGTTCTCCAGCATCAGTTTTGGTGTGTTTTTTCTTTCTTTGACGCAGCTTCCCCTTTGTTTCATAACTGAAGTGACAGCAGCTCGGAGGTACAAAGCAATAAGTTGAAATTAACATAAATTCACATGATAATGTATTCAGCATCGGGCAGCGGTTTGCCATAAAACAGAGGGGCATATTTTTGACAAAAGAATGTGCTTCGAGAAGAATTCCTAAAAAGAAAATCAGTGAAAAGGTACAGAGACAAGTCGGTATAACGAACAATTATTAGCCACAAAAGATGGAGTAGAAAAAAATGATTTCAATCCCTCAGAAGTTTTTCTCAGACACACACAGGTACACGTGGCATAAAGCCATTATTGATGTCTCACGGGCGTTTAACATCAACACGAAGGAATCCGTTGACTGACAAATGTCAGGTTAATCTGAGATGCCTATTTTATCAACATCAGTCATCGAGGATGATATTGGCACCTGGAGCATAAATGAAAAGAAGTGCAGTGATGGGCTTTTAACAATATGCAGAACAGGCAGCGGCTCACGCCAAAGCTCTCTGCAGGTCAGCCATTGTGCACAGTGACAGCTCAAGTCACACCATTCTACCGCCCTGTAATTAAATGGAGGCGAGGGGTCAAAACTCCAAGCAGGTTCACTGGCACATGATAAAAATATAATTGTCTGTCTTGTGTGTGAGCTTTTTAAAAGCAATTTTCCAGAGCCATATTCCTCCAACTTAATATAATTGAGTAGTTATTTATCCTGTTTTGCTGCGTATTACGATGAGGTCCACACTCACGGCCACCTCTGCCTCTGCCGCCTTGGATTTTTACAGAGATAATTACTGTGCTGAGTAATGGAGGCGCAGTTCACATACACCAGCTGAATGGAAATTGGAGGTTACATTACCTTTCCAAAGCTGCCTTTCCCAATGGCCCTCAATATCTGGAAGTGATCAAAGTTCACTGTGAAGAGAGAGAGAGAGAGAGACATTAGACATGACGTTTAGGGCATTTCCGATGGAAGAACAAGAAGTGGCAAGTATTGCATTAGCGCGCTGAAACGTTTGCTGTTGTTGCAGCTCTGTTCTGTAACATTCCATGCTGACTGAAACACTGACAGCACGTTGGAAAAGCTGACATCTACACGTGAACTGTGTGGTTCTCCATCAGTTAAACAACAGAGCTGCCGCCACTGCCGCCGCTGCACCATTACTTTTAAAGTCACACGCTTTAATGGGATATTGAGTCACACAACAAAGCAAACAGAAGTGACAATATTCAGTGGCAAATCCTATGCAATCAATGCCTGACTCAGGACTACAACCTACATGCAGGGGCGAACAGACAGGGATTAGCTTCTGTACGGCCATATCTAATAAACTTAGGTGACTGATGGAGCAGGAACAACCTTTAGATGTATCATCTGTCCTATATTACTGTTCTCTAGCAGAAGACAAATTCAGGAGTCAATAGACAATAGACATGTATCCATTTGGAAGTCAAGATGGAAAAAAAAGCGCAAAATCTTTACAAAAAAGTCCGGAATCAAACCAACACCTTCTTGCTGTACAGCAAGTAAGCTAACCACTTATCCACTATGTAGCAATAAGCATTTAAAAAATAAATAATAATGACTAATGGATGCTACATGAATGTGTTTTTGGTTAAAAAAAAACTTTTAAATCAGGAGGAAATGACCAATAATTCATCACTTAATTGTTCATGGTTAAATGTTCAATGCCTGCTGTATATTTACCCTGTATTTGATAGTAAAGGCTGCCCTCGGGGTTATTCATTTTTCCTTCTGTTGTTTTCACAGCAGCTGACAACATTTGCTTACAGAAAACAGAACTCAGAACTCTGTTTGTAAAGTTAAGAAAAGAAATGATCTGTGTGCCCTCCGGCAGGTGATTGTGTCAGACTGTCTCCTTTTTTTTAAAGTGTCCTCTTTTATCATTACACAAAAAAATAAAAACATCTGTTTAGCTTCAGTTGAGACTAAAGATGTGAACTCATCAAACGGCTCGTATCACAGTGGACGGTGAAAGTTTCATAAATGAGTTGATTGCTGCGTTTGTCATGCAACTTCAAGTCAAATCAGAAATGGCCGACTCATTTAGAGATAAAATGAATAAAAGACGTGGGAAGCTCATGAAATGCAGCAGTAGGCTGTAGATCTGAATGGAAAAATAAGTCAAAACATGTTGCTTTGTGTTGAAATGGTTTCACTTCGTCAATAAACAAGTTGTGTTTCACCACATCTTACTACGTCCAAAATTAATTTCCCTGATTGAACCATAAATTATGATATATATATATACATTAATATAAGTGACACACATACAATCACAGCAGTGGTTCCCATAATGAGGGGCAGGTCCTATAGGGGGCCCAGGGCACTGGGTATTGGAAATGAACTGGTCTATTGATCTGTCCTGTTTAATTTATAGTGTTTGAAAAAGGTCCCACCCACAACTGGGTCTTCAACAGACACTGTAGATTTGGGAACCACTACTAAATAGCTTGTTTAACTAGTTAAAAATATATACTTTTATCAACTGCCCAGTGTGTACCCTGCCTTTGCCCACGTACTGTTAGGATTGGCTCCTATATATATATATATATATATATTAATCAGGGTTAGCTACCAGAGATCAGAGTGGGCTACCCAAATAACATGGGAAATGCAACAGAACCCACCGTGTGTACTGTTGTTGCTCCATTGTCACATCATTATACTGATAATGCTGTTTAATTTCCAGGACTCCTATTGTTAACATGAAATTAGCATTATATGAAAAACGACACCACTGGGTTTGAATAATGGTTTACTAATATGTTTTTTAATTGCTCCCCCTGTAGCCTGAAGCACACTGTGTGAAGCAATGTTTTTTTAATAAGTGATGTGAGAGGAGAGGGCTTCATGGGAGGGGCAAAACAAGGGGGGGGGGAAGCAGAGTATAGATTTCTGTGGATTTGGATTTGTGAAAAAATGTAATTAATAATATTAATTATAATGGCAACCTGTGTTTGTGTTTATGCCTGTGCATGTGCTGGTGTGTAAATAAATGAGGTCTTGGTGGTTGGTGCAGCATGGAGTGCATCTTCAAGACTTTCAAATTGCTGGTCTAAAGCATTTTTTTATTATATTTTCTGTAATTTAAAGGGATGCTCCTAATAAATATAATTTCCCCCTTTCCATTACATCACATCCTGGAAATGGGACATACAGCCTCAAAATCTGTGAGAAAAAAAAATCAAACTGACTCATTCTATTATGTAGGAGTTTTATAAATGCAACGTGTGTGTGTGTGTGTGTGTGTGAGACAGTGCCCCAGGCAGATGTGAGCACAGCAGGCACGACACTAGCTCCTGTGACTCCTCTTTAAAAGTCAGTCACTTTGGACGTGTACATTTCATCCCCACAGCCTCCTGTCCATGTCGACGAGGACTGATAACGAGCGAGGACGGCTCACACCGGGCACCTGCGGACTCACCTGCTGCCCACTGACCTATGCTGGACTGGTTCTCGCATAGCAGGCTGCTCCCAGACAAAAGCCACCAGGTGTGATTTTCATAGGTTGCTCTGGGAGATAAGACTAATCCAGAGTGGATTGTCTCCACTCAGTCTTTTATACATGGCTAATCCTTTCATGTGACATGGTTCTGAAGGCGCCCTGGTGCCTACACACAGAAACCCTACCGTGAACATGCAGTGGCTTTTAAGGTGGTTCTTAAGCTGCAGCACTGTGCATTCATACAGAACAGAATAGTCCTTTCATTTAAGGCATTCCTTAATTTAGGTCATTGTTTGGATATTTTGGTCAACATTTACTGCAATTTGTTAGCCTTTAGCAGCTAATTGAGGTGGATTTAGCAGCTAGTATGTAAGCTGGTTTCTCAAAACACTTATAATAACATGACCTATATGACAAAAGATGGGGAGTGGTCACATATATAAATATATATATTTATATTTATATACATTTCTCTCAGTATAGTGTGCAAACAATGACACTGCAGGGAGAAAGTGCCGGGGGCTGCAGTGAGAAGAAAAGTGATTTCTCCTAATTTTGCAGACGTTATGTAAAACTCTCTAACCTATATTTTTAACTCAGACAGACGATATCTCCTCATCTTAGTCGCAGAAGAGACTGCAGTTGAGTTTACAAAATGGTTGCAGCTGATGCGACTGCAGAATGTAACAGAAGGAGGACTCACACACTCACGCCTCCCTTTTCCCAGGTGGATCAAGAAAACAAGGCTGGCCTTTCTGGACCACAAAGAATGTGTTTCTTTTGAAAGTGACTGCTGTTGAAAGATAAGGAGCAGGGATTTGTCTAGGCCTTTCCTTGGGAATGTAGAAAGGGCTGAGCTCCAAAGGCCCAATCCTTTTTTTTAAAGAGGCTACACGCCTTAACAAATGTCCTAATAATTGGTATCTGTCAATAAACTATTTCCTATGTTGCTGCTCTCTGCTTCAGAGGCAGGCATGCTAAAAACAAAATAAAATAAACGACCTTTTCCAAAATATCAGGGTTTTTGTATTGAACATCAATAACTGATGTCGCCCCCTAGTGACATGACATTAGCAGCAGTGGTCCTCAGCTCATTTGAGGTTCAAAAATCCTGTCTTAGGGTTCATATTGTTCATACTAGCACAGACATCACTCTAGCCAAAACTGTTGTCATAAAATATTCTCATTGTAAACATTTAAATGTTGACAAATATTTTTCACGAACCAATTCAAACTAGTTTTTAAGGAAGTGGGTTTTGGAAAATGACACGTCTTCCTGTCACTTTAAGCTGCTGATCCTGGTGAGCGGAACAGCAGTGGGCAGAAACACTGTGAAGACCGGCCCAAATTAAAAATAATGACCTGTATGAGTTATTGCTTTAACGGGCAAAATCTGCCAGAAATGTCATAAATTTGATTTCAGTGAAGTGTAACAGAGCGCCGATTAAAATATATATTTATAATATTGTACACTCTGAAGGATCAGCCTGCAGGATGACTAATACTTTGTGTGACTTGTAGCAAAAATCTGAAAGAAAAAAAAACACAATCCATCATCTTTCTTAAAAATAGGACAAAGTATACTTTGCTGGGGTTTTTTATTGGGCGTTTTATATAACTCCCCAGTTCACTAAAATTTCAAGCCGACAAGATGACTTCTCACAAGGGTTTGGAAAAAATAGTTAGCAATGATGGAAGAAATGCTCTGTATTCACTCCCATTGTTCTTGAGTTTATCTGTGTTACGACATACACCACTTTATCCTGTATTCAAAAGTATTATCCAATTGTCTAAATAAAAGTGTACGGTGGGTCTTACACTTCAAACCCCCTGTGGAATACTGTTATAAATGTTTGCACAGTACAAACTTACATAAAAAAGAACCTTAAGCGTTAATCAGAAACAAGGGACTTAAAGATTCCTAAAGCCAGCGTCCACCACACCTTGTTATTGAACACACGGATCGATGCCCCCAGCACCGCAGCACTTTCCTAACTGAGTCACTGGATAATGAGAAGCAAAACAAAAGCAGCCCTCAATGGCTAAATAAATGAGTCTGCTCTTCAGATTCGTGGAAAAGGGGGATTTGGTTTTCCTTTCATGCTAAAGGGATGATTAGAGCAGACAGCGCATTTCCTGGAGCCATTACATCAGCTCACCCAGGTGCCTGGACGGCACGGCGTGAGGAGAAGTAGCGTGGGAGGCTGTGAACTGGTTGGACATGTACAAATCCTTCTAAACCTGAACCAATTTGTGATTGAAAAGGCTTCAAAGTTAGGTTTAAAGTTGAGATTTTTTCTTCAATTCATTCCTTTTCATATGCTGCAAATCAAAGTCCGTGGACGTTGACGGTCTTAAGAAAAATGTTCAGGAAAATTAAAAATGTTTTTTTTCGTGATTTCAATTTTAACAAATTGCATAGAAAAAATGCTTTTCATAAGAAGG